AAAAAAAAAAAAAAAAAAAAAAAAAAAAAAAAAAAAAAAAAAAAAAAAAAAAAAAAAAAAAAAAAAAAAAGAAAAAACGAAACAACTAAGTGTATAAAAAGAGTGAACTATGAAGACTTTTAAGATAATATGCATTTTTTTCAGTATAACCTATTGGTTTTTGGTCGCGTCTGTGACCGCGCAAAAAAGTCCAAACAGAAGGGGTTATTTTATGTATTTGATCTGTTGCTTGACAAGATGTGAACTAAATCATCTTGAAAATATTCCAACTCAAAGATTGGATTTGGAGGTAAGCATAAAGATAAATAAATAAACTTATTTATTTTATTATTCTTTTTTATGATTTTTTTTATTTAACCGTCGTCTCTTTGTCTTTTAGGGTCCAATAATTTTTTGGCCTGGTGATTTGTATAATACAACGGAACAATGGTTTGCGTATATAAATTGTAGCACAAATTCTACATCAAATGACATGATAACTGCTCAAGGAAACGGATCCGCTGCTATAATTTTATATAATGATACTGATATTTGTACATACCCAACATCTTTAACCAATATTAATATTCCTGTATTCAGTGAAAAATTCACAAGATGTTATAGTGCTCTCTCAAGTTCAATACAAGAAATAGATCAACCACCTACGGCAATTATCAGAGGCGGTGGTAGAAATGGTACGCATTATGATGGTTATGGTGGTCCTTACAGTAGTAAAGGTAGCACTGTCAGTGATAATAGCAACACTAGTACCAATGATAATTCTGCTCAACCTTATCAAACTGCAATGGTTGTTTTATATACGATTTCTGGTGTCGTATTAGGATTATTCTTTTTGGTAGTTATAACCAACGTTGTTATAAATAGAGTTCGTTCTCAACAAGATTCTGGAATTATTTCTAATAATGATTCTGGTCAAGGTCAAAAACATGTTGGTATAGCTAAAGCTGTATTAGAAAGTTTTCCAGTTTATTTATTCTCCCTAAGAAATAATTCTGATGTCAATAAAGATTTGGAAAATGGTAAAGATATTAAAGATATAGAATCGAAAGAAATGCAAACTGATGACAAAAATGATATACCATTAAAAGAATTATCACAAGAAACTAATCAAAAGGATGAAACCCCTCAACTATCTGAAGTCGAAGGAGATGAATCCTTAAAGAATGATAATCAAAATCTTTCAAATTCTGATAATAATCAATCAACTCCCGAAAATTCGGTTCCTGTAATTCCCCCTCCGATTTCTAATAAAGTTACAGAAGAACAATTAACTTGTCCAATTTGTTTGGGAGATTTTGAATCTGGTGAAGAATTAAGAATTTTACCATGTCATCATCAATATCATACGTGAGTTTTGTTTTTGGATTTTTATTTTTTATATTTTTTCCCTAATCTTACACCTTATATCTGTATATCTGTATATTTTTAAGTGCTTGTATCGATCCATGGCTTCTTGATATTTCTACTTTATGTCCCATGTGTAAGGCTGACTACACATCTTGGAGTGAAGAAGCATCAACATCACTTAATGAGGGGTCGTCATCATTAGCATCGACTTCTCAAAATGAAACAGATACGACTTCTTCACACTCTTCACATGTTTTCCCACATTTCCGATGGGTAAAATATTTAACTTCTGCTCGACGAGCCAGAAGTGAACGAAGGCGTAATAGGCGTCCACGAAATGGACATTCTGGTAATACCAATCAAAATGAATCTTGAAAATAAAAATATTTGTTAGGTAAAGAAGATGATGATAATTATAATCTCGGGTTTTCTAAAAAAAAATCATGTCTTTTTTTTTAAAAAAACTTCTCGGACTTTGTATTTTTTTTATAAAAATTTTCTATTTTTTTTTTTATGTCCGTAAAAAAGATCTCTTGTATCATAAATTAAATTAATTAGTTTTGATAAATGCTTTTA